GAGTCGGGATTTGAATTTGGCTTCTCCGATGCTCTGTCCACACTCACGCATATGTGCAAATGATTCAGTGGGTCATGGCAGTTCATATTAGGGCTTATACTGGTATCTCATACCTTGGTCTGCAAATCAAATAATGACATGTCATGAATTGTACAGGGGACATCCGAGGGGCAGGGAAGTCCTACAACACAGGCTCCTAGAAAGCATTGTTTTGTCAGTTCCCTTTGGCAGAGCATTATCTGCCCTTAGCTAAAAGAATTAGGGACAAATTCTCTCAAGTTCATTTATCCAACTCTGTTAAAATACTTAAGTGACTTTAAAAGATTCGAGCTTCTTGCGGAGAAACCATTAATTAAAGATAGTACTAACCAAGTAAGCAGAGGCCAAAGAAGAAAACTGTAGTCCTCAACAATGTGAGGAACTATTACCCTTAACAGGGCATTCCATCTTTCATATATAAGAAACTCTCAGACATAAACTGAGGAAGGTGTGAAGCTATGACACGTAGCACGACATTTAAAAACTAAGCAAGTAATAAATGGAAGGAACACCTCTGTTGAGCAAACAGTCAAGACAATTCAGTTTGTTTTTTACAACAAGAAACTATAAACGTGGCAGGAGGAAACAAACTAGCGATATTTTTTTCCCTTCTCTATACAAATTTAAAAGGAGGCTTCTCTTAAAATGCTGTGTTGCCATGATACCTGGTTTCACCTGAAGCTAACTATTCTCAAACCTTGAGTTAACCAACACATTTCTCTTGTGGAAATGTTTGTCTTAAAGCTACGTTAACGTGCTAAGCACTTACCACCAAATGGCTTAAACTACTTGACAGACCAGTATGTTATACTCAGATATTGTTCCCCTAATCTATGTAACCGAAACGATTTGTGTGGTAATCTGCCCTTCTACAAGATTCAAGTCAATCGTTTTACGGCCTGGGATGAATTATCTGGTGCCATTCTGAATTTCAAGACATTCCTTTCTTTTCATTAACAGACTGCGAGTGAATATATAACATCCAGCTGAAGACTAGCAGGAGGGTACTCTTTCTGCCCCCTTCTGATGCCTATGTCGGAAGCTTTCTCTAGCTCCTTTATACTTAATAAAACTTTATTACACACACACAGACACACAAGAAACTATAATAGCATTAGAAAACCTGTTTTCACATAATATATTAAATATTTATAATATAATTTGAGTTCTCATAAAATAAGGCTGAAATAATACACTGCAGGTAACACTGTGACAAGCTGAGCTCTATTTTGTTATGAGTAAGCACTTTTGGAGAAACATATTAAAATACTGTACAGGATATGAAGAAGCAAGTATTGGCATGAATTGTGCAGTTTAGTAGGATGGTTGTTTCTAACCTGTCTCAGTTTGTAGTTATTTGCTACATTCTCTTTTAATAACAAAATGCACAGATAGGCAGCTTTCTGCCTCCTGTTAAACATGAAAGCAAAGATGTGTTAGAGAAGATTCTTTCTCAATAGCAAGTGGCATTTAAAAAAATAAAAGCAAAACTTTATGGAATATTACCTTTATATGACTGGTAATAAAGTAGATGCAGTCACAAAAATATTTGAAAGGATTCCCCAAAAAAAACATGCAAAGTAAGCATATTTAAAATTCATTCATTCCCTACCTCATTCACATTTAAAATGAAGAAGTTGAACTCGGGAATGCATAGAGTTATAAAAATGTCATTAACACAGTTAATGTAAAAAAATGGTATTTAAAAGATAACTCAACCATAGTAAATTCATATAACGCATTTCAATGAGATACAGCTTAACCAGGCAAATATTTTATTTCACTTAGAAGCTGTCAGTTATCCTTTGGCAAAGAAGCAGTGAAGTAAAAGCTAGTTGACACACATTCTTATAAAAATATAAGTGATTGAACCTTGTTAACTTTTCCTGCTGCTGTTAGGGACTGTCAAATGTGTACTATATAGAAAATACTTTTGAAGAAAAAAAAATATAATATATTCACTTAGCCTATCCCTGGAGAAAAAGGTGAGATTTTTTTTTAAGTGGTGGAGAAAAAGAAGTGTAAAAGGATCTTAAACTTAAGATACTCAACCTTGTTCAAAATAAGAAAAAATATGCATGTGGAAATGCCATTTTTTCAAAGGTAAGATTGGAAAGCAGCCCCCAAAGTCCTGTGGCTGCTTTGTTGGTGAGGGGGTGGGGGACCTGCTGCTTTTACACGTCATTGGGGAGAATGGAAGACAGCACACTTTTGGAGAAGAGTTTGGAAACATAAAAAGAAATATATATTTTTCCCTTGGGTATAGCAATCCCACTCTAGGATCCATCTCAGAGATACTCTGATCAAGACCATGAAAATACACGTGTATACAAGTCTATTGGTTGTACCAATATTTGTAATAAAAAAAAATGAAAACTGTTTACCAATATGGGAACAGTAAAGTATAACCACACAATGGAATTCAATAATGCTAATTTTTCCATGAAGAAAATATACACATATTACTATGGAGAACTCTACAGAATATATAATGTACAGTTTAAAAAAAAGGAAGGTGGAGACAAATATGCACAGTATTCTACTTTTTACTTAAGAAGATGATGCAAATCTCTTCAATATCTACATCATCTATATAATCTGTTTATGTGTTTTAAAGTGGGAGCTTTTTCAAATAAAGATCTACACATACATCATAGAGAAAAGGAATATTGAAGAGAATGGGAATAAAAGTTATATTTCTTTGAATATAATTATTCCATAGCTTTGACTTTGGAATCACATTAGTATTTTTTATAAATATAAAAATATAAATTATAAAAACAAAATACATTTTAAAATAGTTAAAAATATGTATGAAATTGGTGACATAATTATACAGTAACTGTACATAACTCTATATCCCTACAACAACATACTCTAATGACAAAACAAACTGTATTAACACTGTTTTCAGTAATCACACTTTGTTGATGGCGTTGGTACTCTGAAACAGATACTATTATATACGTATTATGAAAGGAGACAAATCAGTAATTATGTTAATATCACTCAGTAACAAGATTTTTTGCTAAGAGAGAAAGCAATGACAGTTTTAAGATCAGTGACTTTAAGTAAAAATTTCATAACCCTGGGTATAAAGTGGAAATGCCAGCATAAATACAGTTTTCACCTTTTTAAAAATGCATGTTTCCCAGCTCTTTCAGCTAGGCCTAGAAAGAGTGACCAAGCTAGTAACAGTGAGTGCACCAAGCACTGGGACTGTGATTTCTAAATGCCATTTCCTATTTTTAAAGGAACCAGATCCCCTACCCAACTCCATATATAGGAATTAACTTAAAAGGAATCAACAACCTAAATATAAGAGCTAACCTATTAGAAAAAGCATAGGGGTAAATCTTCATGAAATGGGATTTGGCACTACATTCTTAAATTTGACATCAATGGCACGGGCAACAAAAGAAAATATAAATTGGACCGCATCAAAATGTAAGACTTTTTTGTACCAAAGGGCATTGTAAAGAAAGTGAAAAGACAAAGTGGGAGAAATGCTTGCAAATCATATAATGGTGAAGCTCTATCTAGTATCCGCAATAAATAAAGAGCTCTTACAACTTAACAACTAAAAGACAAACAACCCAATTAAAAACAGGCAAAGGATTTGAACAGACATTTCTTCAAAGAAGATATACAAATGGCAAATGAGTATATGAGAAGACACTCAACATCACTGGTTATTAAGGAAACGCAAATCAAAACCATGAGATACCACTTTATACTTAATAAGATGGCTACTTAAAAAATAGAAAAATATTAATAGCTAGCATTGGTGAGAATGCAGAGAAATAAAAACCCTTATAAGTTGGTAGTGGAAATGTAAAATGATGAAGCAGCTATGGAAGATAATTTGTTGGTTCCTTAAGAGGTAGAATTACTGTATGATCTCAAAACTGCACTCCAAGAGAAATGAAAACATACATCTAAACAGAAACAAGTATTCAAATGTCTATAACAGCATCATTCATAACAGCCAAAGACAGAAACAATGCACATCAATGGATGAATGGATCAATAAGTTGTGGTATATCCATATAATGGAATATTATTCAGCCACAAAAATAACAAAGTACTGATACATATCACAACTTGGATGAATGTCAAAAACATGTCAAGTGAAAAAAAGGCAGACACAAAAGGTCACATATTTTGTGATTCCTTTTATATGAAATATTTAGAATTGGCAAGTCCACAGAGACAAAACAAAACAAAATAAAACAAAAAAACAGATTAGTGTTTGCCAAATGATGGGGGTAAGAGAGAATGGGAAGTGACTACTTAATGGATATAGAATATTATTATGGAGTGATGAAAAAGTTTTGAAACTAGAAAGAGGTGGTGGTCACTGCATAACAATATTAAAGCAAAAAATGCCACTGAATTGTACACTTTAAAATGGTTAATTGTATGTTATGTGAATTTCACCTCATTAAAAAAATACATGTAATGGTAATGATATAGTGCAAGTAAAGGATGTTTTGCAATGTTGGAAGATATAAAACATTTAAACAGATATTTCAGCTTTGTATCATTCTTTCTTTTTAAACACATGTTCTTTCATATAATATTTATGTAGTTGTTCAAAATTTTTAGAAATAGAGGTGCATGATAAAAAATTGCTCTAAATACAGGTTAATAAATCTCTACTTTTCAGGGTGAATTGATAGACATACTTCGTATACATTGGCTGAATAATATTTTAAAATTTATTTTCAATGCCTTTATGTAGATTATACATTTTCTAGTTCAACACAGGTCCTTCAAACCCTAGGGTTTTATATTGTGATTCAAACATTAATTTTCTTGCCCAACAATGATCAAATAGATTCTGGATTTTCAATTCCTCATTAGGGAATTGGGCATATCTAAGATAGTTTTATATCAATAATTGCCCTTTTTCTGCTCTTGATCAGAACTAGAAATGGAGGAAACAGTGCTAGACTTACCCACACACGGCAGAGAGTAGCCAAGCTGAGGGTCGTGGACAAACTGCCGGTCATTGAGTCTGGTCACACAGTACAGGTGGAAACAGTCTAAGCAGATCACGTGGCGGTGGGTGCACTGGAAAACCAGGACGGGGCTCCTGCGGAGGCAAAGACATTTCCTCTAGTCCTGCTGAGGCTGGAGACGCGACGTGCGGTCCAGGACACTTCCTGTGACCTTGTAGGGTTGCTTAGGGTACGCTCCACGTAGAGAACTGCACTGCTAAGCGCTGGGTTCGTACATACCAAGGCTACCTCTGCAAAACTGGAAACACCTTGTGAGCCATGAAGAACATTGATTTTCTTAACTTTCATTTTTCATATTTTTATATTTTTCATATTAACTTTATTTTTCATATGGACCAATCAGCTACTTAAACCCAAGTTCAGATACAAGCTCTTTCTAGAAGCCTTTGACTTATAATTCCCAATTAACCTACTCATCATGCCATCCACTTACAAATATTTCACTATTTTATCATGATATTGTTATATTTCTCTTCACTTGTAAGACTATGATCCCTGTGAAACTAGACACTGAGTCTACTTGATACTAATATTCTCATAGCACCAGGCACTGTAAGATTTTAAATGAATGGTCCTTGAATTCAGTTATAATATTAAATAGTATATAAACCTGAATTTCCCCCAAGTCAAAAGAAAAATTAGCAAAGCATGTTAAACAGTCATTCATATCTCATTGGCAAATAGAAAAGTAGAGTTTAGAAATAAAAGATTATCTAACAGAGGTTCATCTATGACAGGATTTTGTCATATGCTTCCCCATCTACTCAAATATTCAATTTCTAAAATTAAAGTTAGGGGAGTACTAATAAATCAATATATATAAGTCCTAAAAAGTTTGGTTCTCCTTAAAACACTGTAGGAAAAATCTGTCAAGTAACCACTTTTTTTTTTTTTGCTTGTAAATGAACTGCATGAGTTTATGACAAAAAGGAAACAAAAATAAAATATTAATTTGAAATCAGCCCCAAGGCAATTTTAATAGTAAGAAAGTCATTAGATTTTATCTTGATAAGCCTATTTTCTGTGCGATGATAACAAACTACAAAATATTTTTTTATTTCATACCCAGTTCTTAACAGAAAAGCTCTTCCCCTAAAAATAACAGAAGATAACTTCATAATAATTAACAAGATTTAAAAAATTTTGTTTTCCTACTTATTTCAAAACAATATATAATACACAAAAAAATGGAAAGGAAGCCTTGCTACTTTAATGTCTTGGGCCAATAAGTTGATGGTCAATCCATCTGAGTAAGAGTGTCCCTGAGGTTTTGATGTGCTTCCGTTTCCTGGCTCTGAACCTTTTGCCAGCCCCTCAAGGGCATTTCCATTCCCGGGGCCTTTTCAATCGGGTGTTGACTGTGTGCTGAATTTTCAGCCTCCCCCTTCTAACAGCCTCCCCACTGAAGACGATGAAATGCAACGCTTGCCTGTTTCTAAGAGCGGAGTCAGGCACGCACACACACCTTACTCCCTCTAGATGACCCTTCGGACCCGCCATATTTACATCCTTCTTTCAGGACTATGTTCTGTGAAAAAGGTTCTTCATTCTGATTTTACCAACATGGTTGACTCAGCCTTTATAGGCCCCTCATCTGCTATCAATACAGAGAAACACTGGAGAAGCTATGAGAGCATTTATAAAAATGTGCCTATATATAACAAGGTTAAAAAGAAAGCTTGGCAATTACCCTGTAGAAAAAATATAAAAAGAAAACTTATATAAAATCCAAAGCAGTCAGAATGGATTGTAGACTCTGCCAGGGTCCCAGGGAGATGTTAAGATGCGTGGCATGTAGCCACTCGTCTGGCAAATGTATTCTTTCCATCCCTATTAATAGAAGGAAGAATAGAGAGTTCTCTTTCATGTGTGGACAACAGTACACATTTATAGTTTTGCCTTTCAGTTAAAATATGTTTCAGTTAAAATAAGTCCAAAAGAACTTACACCACTTAGTCAACTCATAGAACAACAATTTCTCTGCTTTAGAGATCTCATCAAGAAAATTAGAGATACCAAGGGAGCATTTAATGAAAAGATGAGCACAACAAAGGACAGAAATGGTAAGGACCTAAGAGAAGCAAGAGAGATAAGAGGAGGTGGCAGGAATACACAGAAGAAGGGTACAAAAAAGGTCTTAATGACCCAGATAATCACGATGGTGTGGTCACTCACTTAGAGCCAGCCACCCTGGAGTGTGAAGTCAAGTGGGTCTTAGGAAGCATCACTACAAACAAAGCTAGTGGAAGTGATGGAATTCCAGCTGAGTTATTCCAAATCCTAAAAGATGATGCTGTGAAAGTGCTGCCTTCAACACGTCACCAAAGTTGGAAAACTCAGCAGTGGCCACAGGACTGGAAAAGTTAAGTTTTCGTTCCAATCCCAAAGAAGGGCAATGCCAAAGAAAGTTCAAACTACCACACAACTGCACTTATTTCACATGCTACCAAGGTAATGCTCAAAATCCTTCAAGCTAGCCTTAACAGTACATGAACTGAGAACTACCAGATGTACAAGCTGGATTTCAAAAAAGCAGAGGAACCAAAGATCAAATTGCCAACATCCATTGTCTAGTCAAGGCTATNCAAGGCTGTATATTGTCACCCTGCTTACCTTTTACGCAGAGTGTGTGCTAAGCGACTTCACTTGTGTCTGACTCTGCGACCCCATGGACTATAGCCCCCCAGGCTCTTCTCTCCATGGATATCCCCAGGAAAGAATACTGGAGTGGGTTGCCGTGCCCTCGACCAGGGGATCTTCCCAACCCGGCAATTGAACCTGAGTCTCTTACATCTCCTGCATTGGCAGGTGAGCTCCTTACCACTAGCGCCACCTGGGAAGCCCCTATGTGGAGCACATCATGCAAAATGCTGGGCCGGATGATCAAAAGCTGCCATCAAGATTGCTGGGAGAAATATCAACCACCTCAGATATGCAGGTGACACCACGCTGATGGCAGAAAGTGAAGAGGACCTAAAGAGCCCCTTGATGAAGGTGAAAGAGGAGAGTGAAAAAAGTTAGCACTTTTTAGCAGCTGAGAAATGTCTTTGGAGGTCATTTTAATAAATCTGACATGAGTGACTAAGGAATTGGACCGTGTTGTGCTGGTGGTTCTAGGAGTGGAAATGAAAAGATGGATATGAGTGACGTTTCTGAGGGGAACCTGCCAGGACCTGTATTCTCGTGGGTCTTTTTCTTCCTTCTGACATTCCTCTGTGCCCTTTGCTCCGACTGCACATAAATGTTAATTGACCAATCCAGAAAATGATTTTACCCCAGTGAGCCAGGTTATAGAGCAGTTAATCAAAAGCTACATAAAGTTCCCAGTCATATATAAAAAAAATCATATACAAATCTGCACTTGACATTACTTCAGAGTTATTTGTAAGCAATGATTTTCCTGCTTTTATTAAAGGAGTGATCCAAAGACTCTTTATTCAAAAAGGAGAACTATTAGGACGTCTGTGTGTGTGTGTGTGTGTGTGTGTGTGACAGTCACTCAGTCATGTCTGAGTCTTAGTGATGCATGGACTGTAGCCTGCCAGGCTCCTCTGTCCGTGGGATTCTCCAGGCAAGAACACTGGAGTGGGTTGCTGTTTCCTTCTCCAGACATCTCTTATATGTGGAATCTAAAAGAAATTATACGAAATGAATTTACTTGCAAAAGAGAAAGTGACTCACAGACTTAGAAAATGAACTTATGGTTGCCAGGGGGAGGGGACAGTCAGGGATGCTGGGAAGGTCGTGTAAACATTGCTTCATTTAAAATGGATAACCACCAAAAACAGATTGTATAGCACATGGAACTCTTCTCGGCATTATGTGCCAGCCCGGATGGAAAGGGAGAGAACGGATGCATGTAAATGTATGGCTGAGTTCTGTATCTATTTACCTGTAACTACCACAACATCGTTAATTGGCTGTACCCCAAAAATGGGGTTAATTTGGCTGTACCAAAAATGTTTTTGGTGTTTTTTAAAAAATAAAAGTATTAAGCATAATTGAGAGTCCTAGTAAAACTGACAGTGAGTGCATGGACTGTAGCCTGCCAGGCTCCTCTGTCCGTGGGATTCTCCAGGCAAGAACACTGGAGTGGGTTGCTGTTTCCTTCTCCAGACATCTCTTATATGTGGAATCTAAAAGAAATCATACGAAATGAATTTACTTGCAAAAGAGAAAGTGACTCACAGACTTAGAAAATGAACTTATGGTTGCCAGGCGGAGGGGACAGTCAGGGATGCTGGGAAGGTCGTGTAAACATTGCTTCATTTAAAATGGGTAACCACCAAAGACAGATTGTATAGCACATGGAACTCTTCTCGGCGTTATGTGCCAGCCCGGATGGAAAGGGAGAGAACGGATGTATGTAAATGTATGGCTGAGTTCTGTATCTATTTACCTGTAACTACCACAACATCGTTAATTGGCTGTACCCCAATACAAAATGTTTTTGGTGTTTTTTTTAAAATAAAAGTATTAAGCATAATTGAGAGAGTCCTAGTAAAACTGACAGTGAGGCATTCACATACAGGACACAAAGTCGAAAACTGTTCCACAGTAATCCAAACATTTAAACTCTTGTAAAATTAGTTCTCTAGTACCTACAAAACGGTACCAATTTTATTTTCATATTTTTCTGATAAAATGCACAGTTTTCTACCTCATGCATTTTCTCTCTTGTCACACACACACTTGATCTCCTTTATGTTCCCTCTCTCTGCCAAAATCTCTTCATCTCTGTCTGATGATGTTTTTCTCACAGATACATTTTCATTTATACCCACTGACAGAGAGGCTGTGGTTCCAACTTCTCAACTGAACGTGACATATACTGAATGCAATGTGCCAAAAATTTCAAGATGTGCCAAAAATTTCAAGATATGTAAAGCTAAGGAAGCTAACCACCATTCTAAAGAAAACAAAAATCTAACAGAGCAGGTAGGGAAGGGACACACATAAGCGTAACACAGGGCAGAATATTTGAAGCTATGTTAAAGGTGTAGGAAATGGTAAGCAGACTCTAAGATGCTTCCCCAAAATCCCTACCCCCTGGTCTTCATGCTTTCATGTACTT